GTCGGCTGCGTGGGCGCACCGGCTGGGACTTTGAAGTTGGACCTGCAGACAGACGCATATATCTTCATTTCATTTTATTCACTTCCTTTTGGTTTGCGATCTGCTTCTTGTGACTGTTGATTGTTTTTTCTTTTTTCTTTTAGCAGGCAAGCTTGGACTTTGCGATATGAAGCATGTAATCACCTCTCTGCATGGCCTTTCTTTATAGTGTTTATTACATTTTGTTTGAAATGATCGATCATGCATTTGCATGGCTGCTGCTGTTGCTGTTGACTTTTATATTATCATTGCATGCAGGGGCGCTGGAGTCTGCGAGGACTGTTCTTGTTATACTATATACACTATGTCTTGTATGTAATGCCATTCGAATTCCACTCTTCTATATAATTGCATCGTGCATGTGAAGACAGAGTGTGAAGAGGTGATGTCATATCACCAGTTGTCGTTGGGGTGCCAAGGACTGCTACAGCTGTGACTGCTGGAGGGGCGGTCCCAACGCTGCGTTGACATTTCTTATCATCCCGCTGCTGCTTATCTTCCCACCCACCGCTTCCTCAGTGGGAGAAGTACCTAGTAACTGCCGGTACAGCTATAATTGACACACGCTCATCGACCGCTTCAATTGGCTTCACACCATCTTCCGTTCATCAACCTGACCTGACCAGAAACAACGTTACGCGGACCTGACGTTAACTGAATTGCACGCATCGACCTCACCTCCACTACTGGTAGTAAGTTTTCACTTTGTGAATCGACACCGCTGTCCCCTCCCCTACTAGCTACTCCATTATACGTATACGCGTACGGGCGTGTATACAGCGGACAGCATCACTGCGATGATGTCTCTGCCTACTTGGTCGATTGCATCAATTGACGGATATTGTGCTAATGATGCATGCATGCAGCGTTTGACAAGCGAGACCCCGGAAGCAGTCTGTCTGCAGGACAGGCGGACAGGATCAATCAGGCACTTTATCTCGCTATCGGCTGCGCTCGATCCGGATTGCATACCGTGACGGGATCCACCATCGACAGCAGCAGTGGTTACTCTCTCCATCTGCCGTCCGGTCTCCGTCTCCACGATTACCTCTTCGCCTCGCTGTCATCCGACAAGATAGAAGAGAAGGACGGCCTCGACGAACATTCAAGATGTCCGATCGCACGCTCTCAACCATCAGCGACGACTCGGTCGCCGCGCAGACCGCCTCGACGAACGCGGACGTCACGTCGGCGTCCAGCGCTCCCGCTGAAGTTCCTCCTCCCGCACCCCCCAAACCCGCCTACGTCCCACCGCACCTCCGCTCCGCTCCACGCACCCCCTCCACCACCGCGGCGAACAGCTACACCCACACCCACACCCACGCCATCCCGCAGCAGTACTTCACCACCTCTGCCATATTCGCGCACTACGGCGTCCAGCACGGCGGCACGATCAATGCCTCGATCAACAACCACCGCGAGCTGGCGTACATTCTCGTCTTCCTGAACCAGCACCCGGAGTACCCCGAGAAGATATTCGTCAAGTCGTCTCTCGACCTGATTTTCAGGCGTCAGGACGGCGAGGAACTCAATCCGCTGCTGAAGGAGCTGCTCATCCCGCTGTTCGAGGAGATGAAACCGGCTTACAAAACGGGTGACTGTGCGCGCCCGTTCCGGTTCCGCGGGTGGGTGCGTGTTGCGGGGGCGAAGCGGCTGTTGAAAGGTAGCGACGAGCTGATCGCCATGTTGACGAAGAAGTGGCGGAAGGACGCACCGCGCCGTGGGGCGAAGGCGATGACGGAGCGCGAGCGGGAGCAGCGGCGTATCGATGCTGGTGAAGCGACGATTGTGCGCACCGTGGAGAAGGACGCGAATGGCGCGGAGGTAGTCGTCGAGCATCGTTTTTTCAAGGACGATATCGACGATGAGGTTGATGCTGAAGAAAAGGCGGAGAAGGAGAAGGCCGAGGAAGAGGTGGGGGAGAGGAAGCGGGGGCGTAGGAAGAAATTGGTGGAGGGCTCGACTGTCGACCAGAAGCTTGGGGATACGCTGCCGCGCACGGAGACTGCGTGGAAGAATTCGCTGGGCGTGGATTGGGCCGTCGTTGAGCTGGAGTTTGTCAACTGCGATAGGGGAAACCCGATGCATGGGCCGCCTGTCAAGCTTACCGCTCCGGCGTTTGTCGATTTCGACGACGAGAAGTGGAACGAGAAGCCTGCGGAGGGTGGTAAGACGGTTGGAAATGCGGAGAGACCGTTCGACACGGACATCTTGGAGCTGATGGAATCGGCCACCTCGATCTCGCTCTCGACCGTTGGCCACGATGAGGAGGAGGAAGCAGACAAGGGGAAGAAGAAAGACACCGGTCCTGCACGCCTCCTTGGCTTGGACGGCGCGGATGATACCGTTATGGTCAATGACGACTTGGACTCCGCTTCCATCCCGTCCTCACCGGTCCTCGAGCCTGCTACACCAAAGAAAGGGTCGGCCGTCAACCTGTCCACCTACGCTTTGGCCAAGTCATGGGACGACGGCGGGCTGCGTCTGCCGGACAAGAACGGGCAGGCACTCGCGGTCAGCAGCGAGGACATATCCGCATCGTACATGTCCGCCGGGGCGTCCAGCGTCGCCGACGACTTTGCAGCCATGAGCGCAAATGAGACGGACGCGGAGGAGAGCGACCGCTGGAGCGAATTGAGCGAGCACGACCGAGAGGAGGAGCACTGGATGGCTGTCGAGCGCGGCGGTATGGCCAAGGAAGTCTTTTAGGTGTGTGTGTATGTGAAATATCATGACGACGACGAACGTTTATCAGACTGCAACTGGCGTTTGGAAGGAACGGTACGGTACGGTATGGGATTATGAGGACAGGCTGGATACTTTTTTTTCTAACCATCGATCGATTGATTTTTTTTTTCGCACGATACGTCATATCTGCTGCTGCTGTTTCCTGATTCGATTGTGTGCATGTATTCATGCATGCACGATTTCCTTTGTTCTAGCGGTTGGTCTGGGCGTTCGAGCTGGATGGACGGTGGAATGGAAGGAACAGGCGCATCATGCAGGACTGCCAAATTGTCGGGTTTTTTTTTTGTGTCTACTGACCACTGTTACTGTCGATACTATCATTAATATAGCTCTAGCTAGCTTTTATGAATACATAATGTATTGAGGCTTCTCGTGATAGCTGCTGCTGCTATTTGAGGTACTTACAGACTCGAACCATCGGACGACGGACGACGGCCAACGCATCCGGCGTCAACATTCCACACCGCCAACACACCTCCGACCTCCACACTTGAAATCGAACCGATCGTGCCAGACACGATACGACGATATATATCCCGCCATGCAGGATACATGACACAGGCCGTCGAATAAGACCTACCTTCCTACGCCATGCTCCTCCGCGTCCCCTACGCCGCACCCTTCACCGCGCTCCCACCGCTGCCTACGTCCGCAACAACCCTGCCCGCGGCCGTCACCGCCGTCGCCAACTTTCTCGCACACGCCCGGTCGACGCTTGTCTTATCGGGCGCGGGGATATCCGTCGCGTCGGGGCTGCCAGACTACCGCGGGCCGAAGGGCACGTATACGTTGAATAAAGAGTATCGGCCGATTTTCTTCAGCGAGTTCGTGCATGGCGATGCGGCGCGGCGGCGGTACTGGGCTAGGAGTTTCTTGGGGTGGCGCGGGGTGGAGGGTGTGCGGCCGAACCGGGGGCATGATGCTGTTGCGAGGCTGTGGAGGGGCGGGTGGGTCTCCGGGGTCGTCACTCAGAGTGTGTACACCAGATATAAAGATATACACCCCGGCATGGCTAATTCGGTGTTATTATAGATGTCGACTCGCTGCATACGGCCGCCGATGCGGAGTTGCCCATCACGAACCTCCACGGCCTGCTCGCGACAATCGTCTGTCTGACCTGTCGCAATACCTTCCCCCGCACGGAATTTCAGAAAGCCCTCCGCGCCCTCAACCCCTCCTGGGCGCGCTTCCTCGACCGCCTACGCGAGGATCCGGACACGCCCGTCCGTCGCAACCCCGACGGCGACATCGACGTGCCCGGCGTCGCGTACGAGTCGTTCCGCTACCCGCCGTGTGCTGTCTGTCGCGCGAATCCAGCGTACCGCGAGCGGATACCCGTCGACGACGACGGCGCCGCGTTACCGCCGCCGCAAATACAGCACCGTGGCAGTGCAGATGTACATACCCACGCGCCGGGCGTATTGAAGCCCACGCTTGTATTCTTTGGCGAAAGCGTCGCGCAGAGCGTTAAGGACGAGGCTGAGCGGCGGGTCGACGAGGCGGATGGCGTGCTGGTTCTCGGTAGTAGTTTGGCGACGTATAGCGCTTGGCGACTGGTGCGGCGGGCGCGGGAGCATGGGAAGAAGATTGGCGTGGTGAATCTGGGTGGGGTGCGCGGCGAGGAAGGGTTTTGGTGCGATGAGGAGGGCAAGGTTGCGGCGAGGTATCGGCTGGGGGATGGGAGGGATGGGGTTAGGTTGGAATTTGATATTGGGGAGGTGCTGGAGGGTGCTGTTGATGTGCTGCTGCGGACGGATAGGCGGGAGAGTAGTCGGCTTGCAGCGCAGGCGATGTAGCGTCTACCTTGTATAGATGTATATTATTACCTAAGAAGTATGTACTGTAGCGTCATGAATCAGATTGTCGGGCTTTAGCCAGGGAATCATATATATAAGTACCGCTGTCATTTAAGATACGTATGTAAAGCCCATGGATTGAAGTGTGAATCGGTGGCGGGGTCGGCAATATACTTCATGGTTCATAACACCTATAGGGCCAGATTATACAATTCAAGCCGATATTCCAGGTCGTGAAAAAAAATTATCCGTATACAAGTATACAATCGATCGAATCACCTGGCATTATCACACCGACTGTAGCAATAGACGGTCTGCGTCGAATCTGGCAACGCACCGACGTCGACACACAAGACCTGCCAAAAAAAAAAAAAAAAAAAAAAAGGGGGCAAAAAAACAACCAGTTAAGATAGGTTATGGAATTGCCCGGATTTGAACCGGGGACCTTTTCAAGAATCGGAAGTTCTCGAATGCGAATGAAACGTTCTACCCCTGAACTACAATCCCTAACTTGCTAGTTTGATTCCGTTTGGATCATATCAATGCTCTTGGAAACGGAGGCTGCAGCTGCATTTAACAATCCTCCACCTAGCACTCTAGACTATTGATATCAGCTTCACCTAGCACCAGCAGACCTCAACTAACTTCAAGTGCTACGCCTACTTACACCGACCGATGAAGCAATCGGATACAAGTTGGCTCGGACCGGCTGTTCGGCCAGAGATCGCTGCTCGTATATTAATCATCCCGATATTACACAAAAATGCCAATGCATCGGAACGACTTCGGCAACGCAGCAGATTGCTATTCCCAACACTCCGACCCAAGGTCCATACTCCTCCCAGCAGTACTGCACCGCTTTGACAGCGCTATATAGAGGTATAGAGAGCCGGGTTGCCAGACGGGAGAGTCTGGCAGTAGAGCATGTCGTCTGCGGCCGCTCCGTCCCGCGCGGCCCCGCGCAAGCTGACGGGGAAGAAGGAGGAGATTGATGCCTTTATCGACCGGTTTGATGTATGTATGCATGCACCTTCTCCCGCACTACACACTTGCTCTCAACCAAATCGACGAGTTCTAACAGTGGTGATCACATAGACGTTCTTGTTCGACTGCGATGGCGTGCTATGGCAGGGCAATCATCTTCTACCTAAGGTCGTCGAGACGCTCGAGATGCTGCGCAGCAAAGGTACGTACAGCATCGCCTGAACATACCAAGTTCACTACCACGATAGCAGTACAGCAGCTCACGCCATGCCCTTGAATACAGGCAAGAAGCTCATCTTTGTGACAAACAACTCGACCAAGTCGCGCGCAGCATACAGCTCCAAATTCACCACCTTCGGCATCCCCGTCTCCGTCGACGAGATCTTCGGCTCCGCCTACTCCACAGCCGTCTGCCTCGCCCGCGTCCTGAAAATCCCCAAGGACAAGCGCGTCTTCGTCATCGGCGAAGCCGGCATCGAGGAGGAACTGTCAGCAGAAGGCATCCAGCACTTCGGCGGCACCCAGCCGCTCTGGTTCCCCGAGGACGAAGTAGCCGAACACGCGGGTCCGGACCCCTCCGTCAGCGCTGTCGTCGTAGGGCTCGACCGCCACATTAGCTATGCGAAGCTCGCGCTGGCGTTCGGGTACCTCCAGGATCCCGCTGTGCATTTCTTCGCGACGAACGTCGACTCGACGTTTCCGACGCATGGGAAGCTGTTGCCTGGTGCCGGCAGCTGTTCGGCGCCGCTGACGTATATGCTCGGCGGGCGTGCGCCGACGGCATTTGGCAAGCCGAGTCCGGCGATGATGGAGAGTATCGAGCGGCGGTATACGCTTGACAAGAGCTGTGCGTGTATGGTCGGCGATCGACTGAATACGGATATCAAGTTTGGTATCGACGGCGGCCTGGCGGGGACGTTGGCTGTGCTGACGGGTGTGAGTACTGAGAAGGAGATTTTGAAGGCCGGCGAGGCGGGTGAGGGGCCGGATGTGTACTTGGACTGTCTGGGCGATATGTTGGGGTAGTCTATAGTCGGATAGAGTAGTGCGGTAGAGTATAGACGGTTGCGAGTATAGAGCTAGAGGGCGTGCTTGATAGAATTCATGGATGACGTGTTTGCGTCAAGCTGGTTAGACTACCTGATACAGTCATTATTGCATTTTAAATTACCTTCAATCGAGTATGAGCTGCATCATCTTCCAGACTCCTGTGTAGAGTATGATTTTGGAAACCATAAGCCCGACATCGCTACGAGCCATTGCTACAAGGCTCTACGTCGTTCAGTTTACTCTGTTGGAATCTAGCTACATCGACACAACTTACCATATATCTCTATGCAAGTCTATCCGTCGATTGTAAGGCTATAGCGTGGAGTAGTTGCTAGATTCACAAATTTGCATTCGTCATCATGATTCCGCGTAACGGGAAATCTCAATTGATCAAGTCCAAAGGTATAATCCTACAAAGTTGAGTGCGTGCAAGCATAGATATCATATATCATGTGGTTTCAAAAAGGAGATATATGCGCCGGATCCGAAGTATACGCGTACCCCTTGTACTATAAATTCACAGGGCCTATTTCGTAGAGATATGGTAGTTGAATCGCCTGGTATGTCTGCCTTGCCTGATCAAAGGGCAAAAAGGATCCGGAAATGTGAGAGGCTGATTCAGAGACATCGCTGCGAGCCGAAATCGAAAAGTACTCCCAGATGACTGTTCCGCAGAAATATCCCCAGCATATTTCTACACTCTATATAAAGCAACGTACGTACACAAGTGCAGATTGCCACACGGGGAATTTCAATCGGATAATCGTAAAGCAGGGCCACAGACGAGGCGTGTCGCATGTCGGTCTGACGGGCTAGCGTCGACGCAGGATTCAATACATCATGGTATAGAGATATCCGTAGGCAGAAGTAAGTATACGTAATCACACATCTACGACCTCATCTAGTACACATGCCTGCATGGCCATATGGCATGCTGGCTCCCGTTTCGTCCCGCCTCGTTCGTCGGCGATTTCTATCCCCAATGCAACATATGTATCTACACGAGAGTGCTGCGGGGAGTGTCCCCGACGAGCTGTTGGCGCAGCAGCCGGAAGATGCCGCATAAACGGACTATGAGCGGGTATATTTGCGAGGATCTATAGGAATACCTTTGAATTGTCATGGGCATGGTATACGAGACAAGGCATGGTGGCATGGTCAGTACTAGTACTAATTGGTTTGAAGACTTGGGCATATATATACATATTACTGCCGCTGATCAACGGCCACGCATTCATATTTGGCTAGGCTTCGGGCTTTTTCGATGAGAATGCACGCTTGCAATCGTTTATACAAAGGATACGAAGGTACTTATATTCTCTCCGCTCATGAGATCACACTCTTGGGGTATCGAATTCGTCACAATTCGTGTCCTTGCCTTTATAAGCAGCTAGGCAGGCTCGGCTACTTTCTGTCAATGAAGATCTATTACTTTAGTCCCTATTCTATCGACCTTCTACAAGCCTAAGACTATAACTATGTCATGATTATGTTTATATGACTGATTGATCCGGGCGCCCATAAATGCAGTTCTGTGGACGGGAATATTAATTACTTAATAGAAGGATATAAAACTTGGATCGGTACCGTGATCCTGGCAGACAGGCTGGCATGGCTTCGATCACGCGATTGTCCCGTCCGTCCATCCGCCCGTCCGTAATCCAAACTTTAGATCTACTTCGCCTTGAGCTTGCGCGTCCCCTCAACGGCGGCAAACGAAAATGAGCGAGAAGATCGTGAACCCGAAACGAAAGCCAAGAGCCCCATGACTGATGGGGTTATTATAACCAGGCATCTCATTGTTTCCCAGTTCGAGCAATCCATTGCTAAGTATACATACACAACCGTCATACCTACGTCCATCCCGTTGGATCGGAGAAAAACCTGTAACGATCAATCGTGGTAACGCGCTGTCGTGCGATCTCCTTCTCTACGAGGTAGGCGAGCGGCAGGCCAGGTCAATTACCAAAGCCATAGTACAGGCAAACCCATACGGCATGTTGCATTGCATGGGTCTCGGAATATAGCCACCTTGGTACTTATAATTCCATTGCATCGGGAGTTCCATAGATGCACTCGTCCGCCCGGTAGCCCGTAAGGGCGTGGGTACCGTGTATAGTAGGTACGGTATATGCATGCCGACTGGGAATGTTATGACGAGACCAGTCTCTCGCGAGTCACACGCGATGTGCTGTCCGTGGCCATGGATGTATACAAATGTGCATATATAGCAATGCGAGCATCCTAATGCAGATACGCGGGAAGAAACCTAGCGTAGAATGCACTGCCCTGTCCGCACTCTAAAAGGCGATCGAGTGTTTCAAGTCCCCAGGAAAAAGATGCGATGCCGGGGCAGCAACTTGATCGATCGATTGAGCAATTGAGAGATGGGCATATGGGACGTAGACTAGCCGACTCAATTAACCGCCGCAACTATAGATTGTCATGCCACTTTCTTCGCCAAGAACTGACCCTCGAGATGAGACGCCTCTTTAGGGGCTTGCTGTATTTATCGTGACCGTTGTGCTGGCGAGTGAGCGAGTGCTTGCTTGGACTTAGCTGCAGACGGGAAAGCTAGTTGTCAAGTTGCATAAATTTGAAAGGGGCAGTTAGTAGCGTTCATTGTTTGCGAGTCAGGTAGTCGACACGAAATGCCAAGAGTGCATCTACACTGGATGCATCTCTCGATAATTATCAGAGCTCTGATGAATCCTGTCGCTTGCACGGATAAATAAATTTGGGTAGATAATTTATCATATCGACGTGTCCTCTGTGAAAATATTTGAAATTATTTTCAGGAAATCCGAACTGATTACTATACCATGAGGTGTTGTGCACATTGGCAACCGGGCGGGTTTGGCACCGAGACTAGGTGTTGTGATATGTTGCAACCTTAGTAATGTTATTCGGCCTTCGCGATTCGGAGATGAAGCTAAGTGCGAAGTTGATTGATTGCAATGCGGTGATGACTCGGACTGTGCGAAGAACATGCCCCCATCCGCATCTTCGTGGCTCGGCAATCACAAAATATTTGTAGCTTAAGTTACAGGCAGTCACTGGAGGTAATCCCTGCCGTCTCAAGACTATTATCCTTGGCGGATTTGTGCAACGTCGCGGGCCGCCAAGCACTCAGCTACTCAAGTAAAGTAAACTGCATTAGCTAATTAGCTCAGAACTCCATTCGCTCATTCGCAATTCGCACAGGATATGTCAGTGCGCCTCGCTGTCGACGAATTCCTCCCTCCTTCGCCCCTCGTATCCCTCGTTTCGTCTCGTCAGACCTGTATCCTCAGGGCGAATGCGCGATTAAGATTGTCAGTGCAGATGGTCGTGCGAATGCGTCGAAACTGGAGGATATCCTCCAAGTGACACGGCATAGCCGGGCAAACTAATGAACACTCGCGAGCACAGCCAGATTTATTCGCCTGGCTCCCTTGATCGTTTGATCGCGCAGGGCGCCGGGGCAGCCTTCC